TTGCGGATTCTAATAAAATCAGGAAGATATAATAGATTAGCATACCAATTAATTTTCAAATCCAAGCAAATAATTTCGTCACTCACGTATGGGTGACGGGGTAGTCAAAGTGTTGAACACTGACAGAGAAACTCATGAGTGTTTCAATTATTATTATTTTCTTTCATAGAACTAAAAGACCTTTATTTTTACTTACAGCGGCAGTCCACGTCAAATGGCTGCGCTCGATCAAAAATATGAAAAAGGAGACGTCGTTCTCGTTCAGGATCCGTACTGTAAAATGGAATACAAGGACTGCGGCACATCGACTGACAGACTATCTACGAAAACGGAAGCTTCGTTCTCGGAACCAGAGGGACCAACGAGGGATGACAATAACCACGCAGAATCAGTAATTCTTTTATAGTCCATTGTGACCAGTTGTTCTTTGTATTTGCATCGGTAATATCTACGCGAATCGAAACAAACCTGGGAACATTTTATTTGAAATGAATATAAGAAATAAATATTTGAAATAATTCATTTCGAACCGTCATTTTCAATGTTGTTATTTGATAATAAAAATAATATTGATTTATTTCAAATAACGAGCTACTTCGTTATGTTTTATTTTAAATACAACAAAAGCAATAAACCTCAAAATAATACGAAACGAAAAGAATTTATTTTAAAATTTCATTCTATATTATTACATTGTTTTACCTTTAATTTAATTCAGAAAAAAATTGTTTGAGTACATTCGAAATTAAATCTTAATTCAGAATAGTTAATTCAATTCCGTAACTCTGTGCATTCAAAAATTAATACAGAGAATGGAAACATACGTTAAAGACGTTGATCTGACTTTTATACCGGAAGCCAAGGCTTCAAGACATTTCGATTATACGAGGTTGTATGAAACGAGTTCACATCAGTGCGGGGGTGGATGTTATGGCAGCAATGGGTGCTCGATATCGTATGCAGAAATAAATAAGGAGGATTCTAACCCAGAATTGGCACACGAAATTAAAAACGTATTAAAGTAATTGGCATCCTGTCAATGTAAACATCGTATGGCAAGACGTTACAAGTTAATGAACGTTGTTCGCAGATCATCGAAGAGCCTAACGAACCCAAAGTCCCATGAAAAGATGGAAGAAACCTGTACGATCCATGGTGGTCACAGTCGTACAATGAAATCAAGTAATATGACCAACGATCGAAGAGTAAATTTTCAAAACCAGGATGAGATAATGACACAGGTAATTGATTATAACGCAAGAGTCTGCGATTTGACATTTGCACTACAGGGTGTCCCAGAACTATCGTTACTCCCGAAAAGCAGTGATTCCGGACGAGATTTGGAGTAACGTTTTCCTTTGCGAAAATGTTGTTTATGGTTTCGTTTAATTAACGAAAAACGCTGACCAAGAGCTGACCAATTTCTGTTATAACTCTTCTGAATCATTAGAGATATTGCAATGAAATTTTCACGAAACACATTTAAAAAATAGTCATTTTTAATTATGGCTAATTAAATATTTTTTACATTTGTCAAATAATAATTTTCAATTAATTTTCATTGATATTTTTTATGGAAGAGAAAATTGCTTAAGTACAATTTTACAAACTATTTTTTACTTTCTAAATACAAACGAAACCATAACTGACATTTTCGCCAAGAAAAAAGTTCCTTCAAATCACCTGAAGAATTTTTCCCTTTGAAGCGTAATTGTGTACCAATGTACAAAGGTATAATAGAAACATAAAAGTTAAAAGATGTAATTAATAGTGTTAAAAGTAAAAATAAATTTTATTATGACATAATACAAACATGAAAGTACGCGACTCATAATTTATTACTTTCTCTTTAGAAAGACGAAGAACCTACAGTCCCGCGCAATACTGCATCGTCAAGATGTGTCCATAAGAAAAAGATAGCGAACCTCCGGCATATTGACGTTTCTTATTTGACGGATCGCGGAGGCGAAGCTGATGACGAAAACTCTCAAGTTGGAGGATGTCGAAGCGCGATATACGATTTCGACGAGACGCCTCAGAGGGAGAATCACGTATATAAAACCTATTCGGATGACTCGATCTTCGACCCCGACGACATTTATACAAGGCCTATCCTGAAGAGTACGTTAAGATCACAACGACTTGTAATTCATCATTAAACCTATCGAGCAAGTCGAAACGATCGATTCCATATCTTTTATTTTAAAGTTCTCTCTTTGAAATCATATATACTCTCGAAGAGGAAATAATTGAGGAAATAATTGTTTAAATAAATTTATTAAATTATTCTTATAAAGCAACGCATGTCAGTGATCTTTAGTGCTCGATAGGTTAAGTGTTAAAAAATTAATCGATACTGGAAGTTCCAGATGCGTCTTATATATTGTGATACAATAAATTTTAGAACTATCAGATAAAATGATTAAAATAATTGATTCGTGTGAGTATCTATAGTACAATCAAATTAAACTCTTGTGAAATACAATTTCGTCAATTTGATAAGAGAATGCAAATCTTGACTGCAATTTTATTATTATAAAGTTGTCTTTGTGGGATATTATTAAATAAATTCAAAATCTCAATAAACACACTCTTGTATTTGTATAAAAAATTACAAAGCAGTCGCTTGAACTAATCAGCAGCATTATGTTACACGACGAAAAAAAACGCCATTTTTGAGAAGATCGATTTTGAAAATTCGTCAAGTACACGTGTTTTATTGTTCACAAGTAGAATCACCCGGTCACGAACAGACGTCTCATCAGACTTGCATTCAACAACACACGTACTTGAACACATTTACAAATTCGAATTTCCTGAAAAGTAAGCTGTTGACAATCAAATTTGATCTAACCGTGTTGCCTAGGTTTATAAATTCACTTTGGTTGTGACATATTCGAATAAACCGAATTTTACTAGCATTTGGAGAATGCGAAAAAGTTAAGAAAACATATACGACGATCATTTTTAACTTTCTCTAATTTCGATGATATATTAATTAATTTATGTTGATATTGTAGGATAAATGTCGATAGTAAAGGGAAACAAAAAGACAACAATTTTATTCATGAACCCAATCTATGCGCAGAAGAGATCAAATACCGTCCTACGTTACAAATCTGTCTATTTTTATGAACCCGAAAACTCGTATTCTGCTACAGGTTTTGCACTCCAAAGTTTATCCTTTTGTACGTCACAGTCACCTTTTTGCAAATAAAATTCACCCCCTTGCAAGTCTTATTCAGCTCTTTGCAAATTCACTTATTTCTAATTAAAATCTAATGATATTCAATAAGTAATTATTGAATCGTGACGAACGGTTGGTTTTATTTGCAACGAGGTGAATTTAATTTGCAAAATGATAAACAGAATCCGCAAAAAGAAAAAAAGAATACGATATCCAAAAGCATCGATTCGGAGTGCAAAAAAAAAGGTGAACGTGATCTACGAAAGAATTAAGTTGGAGTGCGAGAAGATGTGAATAAACACGCTATAAAAAAGGATTAATTATGATCGCAAAGCTATAAACGTACTCGTCGTTCGAACATAACAACTGGGCGCAAAAAACCTATTTTTCTGATGCAGATCGATTCAAGCCTGCCTTATTACGTGCGGTAAATTGGATCTTCGGAGGTTGCCCTCACGCGTCGAAGTGCAGCAACGTGGTCGGAAAGGAAGAACACGAAGAGATCACCGACGAGTGGCTCCTCTAGCCTAACGATGCCAGACTCGTGGCAGCCGATACACGACGCGTCGGCAACCTTAGACATCTGCCGTATCGAAACGTTCCGACCGAGAATTCCGAAAAGCAGCTCCGTCAACCGGCTAAAAAATCAATTTACGCCTTAGAATCGCCAAATAAATCAGAAACGTTCCCGCGACTGCTTATTTGCGTATCTTTGAACGAATGCGTATGTTTTCCAAGCGGTCGACGCGAGAAACTAACCGGAAGCGAGCCAGCCTTCTCGGCTAGTACAGAACCAGCGAAACGGGCGTTCTCTCGCCGAGGCGTACCCGGAAGAATTCGCGCCGGGTGTTCGAAGAAGTCGTGAACGATTTTACGAGTACACGGATTCGCGATTCTCGAAGTCAATATTTGCTCCAGAGCTCGGACGGTTTCGGGAGTGTCGGCCGGGTCAGAGAGCTCGCCAGGAAACCACACGGAGTTTACGAAACGCGACCTTCGGCAGCGCGCACTCCCGTACCGGAAGTGGATATCGCGCGTACGTGGCCTAAGAGCAATAAAGGAGGCCCGGCTCCGCAGGCCGCCAAAAGAGAATGGGGAAAGACAGTCGCGCGGAGACCAAGAAGCGCGTCGGATCACGCAACGGAACTGCGAAATCGCTCGGAAGCACGTGACACGCGGGATCGGATCCGGCTGCTCGACCGATCCTCCGCCGATTTCCGGACATCGGTTACCTTTCCGCTCCGATTCGCGCGATCGCGAACCATATCTTGTCGTTTTTTCGCGAAACAGAGTCTCTCCGTAGAAAATCCCCCGTTTACCCTGTCTCACCGCCGCTCCCGTCGACGAATTAACGAAACCGTGATACTTGATGTTCCAAGCCAGTTGGTAAAAAGTGCATCGGGGAATGGTGAAGCGACTGTAGATCGGTGTGTTTTAGGTGAGCGCAAGCGGCGAGAAATAAAAATAACGCGGAGTTTATAATAGTCGGTGGGAAAGTGTTGCTGCTAATCGATACCGTGACCAATTATTCGTACCAGAACGTTCTGTTATTTTCCCGTGAACAACGCGCGGCGCGGAGTATGCGCTCGTATACATGTATTTAGCGGTCGGGTAAAAATTCGTCGGGCATGTTAGCTTCGTTCGGCGAACGGAATGCGATTCAAGTGCATCGTTCGCGACCGAAACACGGTCATGTCCGGTGGTACCCGATGCCAGTTCACCCGTAACCCGACTTATGTGCCGCCTGCGGTACATTGTTAGACGCCGGGAGTAAATTCTTGGGATTCCACGGGACATGTGCGAACCGTTCTATTAATGTACACCCATCTCGTTGGCCCGTCTCTCTGTCGGTCGGGGTCCGCACGCGCTTCGATCCCGCTCTTTCGCCGCTTCCATTTCCCTCCCACCCATCCTTCGGCCGCAGGTCGGCCGGAGAAGAGTGCGGCATATTTAAACTTTCGTTCGAAGGGGAACACGAGGCGAATGCCTCGTCGGATCGCCAGGAGATGCTCCCGTTTCCATTTCGATAAAGACAACACCGGACACCCGGTAAATGGAAAGTCTCGGCCTAAGAGCAGACCGTACGGATTCGTGATGGGTAAACGAGAGCATAAGTAATTTCTTCCGGGAGCCGCGGCGAGCTAGATGTTATTGCAGCCAGCCGATACAACTGTATTATTAACTAAACCGTGTACGCGTACGCGCGGTTTCCGGCAATCGCCGCGGCACGGCACGGCCCGACCCGGCCCGTGTTTTCCTTGGCAAACGCGACCTTTGCGACTAGGCGACATCGGTCCGCTCACCTGTGCGTCAGTTTTCGGATGTTTTATATGAAATTCGGAGGTGTTATCGTCGCCCGTGGATCCCGGCCAACCGAGCATGTAATCGCGGGCAATTTTTCGCGCTTTCCGCGTACACTCTCCGTGGGGGATGCACACGTACGCTCTCGTAAACACAGACACAGCGACAACGTTGCCACACTCGTTCGACGTTTCCATTGCAGCGTGCTACATGATTCTGTTATGCTTTGTGCAGTGACAAATGCGCGGAGTATGACGTCAAATGCAATTAGAGGTATACGGAGGAAGAAGAGCTCGCTATGCGAGGTAAAGGTGGCTGTGATCGGAGCACCCGGGGTCGGGAAGAGCGGTGGGTATACGCACGGTTTATCTTGTATCTTATATCCCATCTAGACAGGACCCTGTCGATAGTCCATTGTCCCCGGTTAAAATTGTAACGCCGCACGATTCCGCGTACATCCATCGTTACGCTTACCAACAGCGACATTACTGTCCGGGGGCTGCGCCGAGTTTCTGCTTTCGTTGTCCTTGTTTTGCTTCCATCGGCGAGGTTTGTTTCGTTAAAACCCAGGAGTAATTTTAGAAACAAATGTTCCGCTTCATATAGTTGCCGACTGTTTGATACCGCACACCTGGGCTCCAAATCTACGAAGAGTAGGCGCGGGATTTCGGAGTGTATGGACTTTAAAATTAGCAGCCGATCGATTCTACGAAAAATCGTGTTCGGTCCTTCTCTTTGAAAAACTTGAACGTCTAATAGCTTAAGATTAGAACTGGATCTGCACGTTAAATATATAATTCCTGTGTGTTAATTTGTAGAAAACTAAATCGAGAATGTATTTTCTTTGTCCTGTTAGAAAAATTGTCATATTTCATAACGACGATATTTTTATTAACATGCTTTAAATAATTTTCTATACAGAGTTATAGAAGTGCTGTAATATGCAACGATGCTCTAATATACGTTGTCTAGTTACGACATGTTATGATAACGCAAATAATATAATTTAATATTTTAGCAGAATCTCCACTTTAAGCTTCTTAAAGTTACACTCTTCATTTCTCATCAATTTTTTAGTTTTAAACGCGTCTTATCAAATTATGAAGTTTTTATCAAATACAGGTATATCTAGCATCGTAAATGTGTTCTAAATATTATTTATTTCCCGCGAAGTATCATTAATAAAGACGCGTGCAATATTTTACTTTCCTGCGACGTACGCGTATATGACATTAACTGTAATCGCTGCATACAGTTCAATGTACAGTTAGAAGTCGTTAGATCAACCCGGCTATAGCAGTTACAAGCAATACATACATTGATTTTTGATCTGCATCAGACAAATATCATTCATTTCATTTCGTAAATGACAAGCCTGTGCCACATCGTATATATGCATATTTTATCATAAATCTAACTTTTATGCTCTTTTCATTGCTTTCGAATTTCATCGTACAGAAATATTTCTTGTCGCGATTTTCCGCAGTTGTTAAGAACTATTTTCCGTTTACTTACGTCAGAATATCTGTATAAAAAAATTAGCACTCCTGGAATCGATAAGTTGTTGCAATAAAACCAAAAAATCAATTTCGAAAAAATATTCGATGGAAATATTGTCATTTACATATAAATAAAACATTATTTCTTCTGCGGAATGAATCCATTTAACGTTTATTTCAGAAATGAATAAAGAGTTCAGCCATCCTCGAACGTTAAGTAAACTTTTTGCAATCCCTCTAACCATTTTCATCGTCCAATATATTAAAAAAATCATTCTACGAGTTCGTCATGCTACTTAAATTTCTTTATAACTTTTATTGAACCGTACACAGTGTAGTAATTTTACTAACGTCGTATTTTTGTTAACTCTTCCACGCTGACTTCTATACAACGCTGTCTTTTATTTTTAATAGCAGACCAAACAATTGATTCACGAATCATATTCTCAAGACTTTCGAAACGTTTAGCGGTGATATTTTGAAATACTTAAAAGAGTTGACCTAGAAGCGGAGAAATGAGCCCAAGTAAAAGTAGAAGTTTCTCGATTTATCGTATGTCCAGACGATAGGCAATATAAGAAACGTGTGATTAGGACCCTGAGGAAGCCAGCGGTGTGTATTTATAGTAATGGCACGTGTAAGGCATAGACGAATAAATAATTGGTTGGCCCCCTGCAGCTGTACGTCCCACACTGACCGCAGATTATGTGTACACTATAAATAAAGTTTCATTTCAAAACTTGTTCGGATCGGGTCTTATAAAAGATTACATGGTCAATTTTGAACGAATAGCGAGACGGCGACCATTTGTATCGCTTTGAAAGCTGCGACACGCAATGTCTTTCTCGCAACGAGTTTCTCGTCCGAATGTATTTTTAACCTGCCGTGAGAGGCTTTCCTTTTTGTTGGAAGAAAAGTAAAAAGACCCATTGGAGCGCTCGAATCGATCCGCATAGGAAATTGGCACGAAAGCCCGCGAACTTTTAATGAGGCACACGAAGGAAAACGTCCAAATGATGTTGCTCTAAAGATCCGAACGTAAGTACACCGATCGCCAATAAAATCGCGTCCAATGAAATGTTTAGCCGGACCTGTCAATCATCGATTAAATCGAACCGCAGAATCAACATTTTGTTATACGCGAAAAAAGAATTTACCAATTTCATTTTTACTCCGAGAAAAGATACAGCTTTACAATTTCAATCGGCGATCAACGAAACGATTCATATTTTGCTTCTACATTAATATTTCATAACAATCGTTCTGACTTCCGACGATAAAACTGTTTTCGAAGTTTATAAGACCGGTCGGTTTTCATTGAATTTGAGATGGAACACATCATGGTGACGTTTAACGGTCGTGCAAGGTTTTGTGGCGCCGTGGCAGGTTCGAGTTCGAGGTAAAAATAGTGTGGTGTACCTCGAAGCAGGTCACTAGGCTATACCTCTCGTTTCTCTCGATCGAATGGCGATATGTCGGAAGAGCTACCATATCGAACAAGATCGTGTCGATTTTTCGAATTTCAACGTAGAAATTCATTTTGTAACAATCGGTTTTAATATCTTGATATAAACGTTGGAACAGATTCAAAACTTTATTTTGGTCATCCGCATTCGCCGCGGAGAACACACTTCTGTAATAATTCTTTTCAGAAACGAATTCATTTTGGGTGAAACGACGATTTTGCGCTTCGCATAGATCGAACTAAAATTAGAGCAGCAAATGCGATAGATGTGTGCGTTTTTGGGGAAGTGTAAATTAAAATCTTGCGACAGTGTTAAAGTGACAAATGCGATCTAATAATAAGTAGATCTTTCCGCAAAGTGGACTTTTGCAGGTGAAGTTTACAAAGTTTGAAACGAAACAAAATGTTTATTACTGCAGAATTATGCCAAATAAAAGCGTATCGAATGCCATAATTTTAATAATCTAAGTTAATTGTTCCGAGTAATTATTCAAAGATTTATGTCACGCAGCAGCAGTGTTTGTTCTTTTTACATTCCAGCGTTGACGGTGAGGTTTCTAACAAGGAGATACATCGGGGAATATGATCACCAGTCAGGTGAGGAACAACATCTCAATTTACAACGCGCAATCCATTCGCGACAATGCGCGCGGCTCGTCGCCGCTGCATAAACTACGATTAAGTAAGGGCAAAGTTGACAATGGGCGATGGGTTTTTCAGTTTTTTTCTGAAAAACTGTCAGCGACCGTATGCCTACCTCAAAGACCGCATATAACACTCCCTACGCATACCTCGGTTCGCGTCTGGGCTAAATTTATCGAGGATGAATTTGACACTAGACAGGACGAGTACTAATGCAAGGTTGATACTCGAACAAAACTTGTTGTTTTGTGCAAATATAGATGCGGATAGGAGACAAGCTTTCTTGCGAGTATATATGTTTCGTCGATGTTCTAAAACTGTGAACGAAACTGTAAAAGATTCTCAGCTACGTGATCCGCATCGTACACGAAATCTAGATGAAAAGTTGCATAATTTTGCCGAAATCCCATTCTTCGAACTTTCTACATCTCACGAATTTTCCGTCGCTTTAATCTCGTCTTGAGGTAAATTATATTATTGAAGCGTGAGAAATGTTGACCTTCGTGCTTTTTTTTAGAGAACAGATACAAACACGAGGTGCTAGTCGACGGTGAACCTATTCTTTTCGAAATTTTGGATACCTGCCCGAAGGTAACACGTCTGTGCCTGCATGCAACGCGTATACTGGACGGTTTAATTAAACGATCGGAAAGAAATGTGATACTTTCATCATTTATCGTGGATGTTTTAGAGCGAGGACGAATTGCCGTCCGCCGATACTCTGCAATGGGCTGACGGATTGCTTTTGGTCTATTCGATAACCGACAGGAGTTCCTTCAATTTTGTAAGAAAGGCGAAGGACACACTTGCCGTGGCTGATCCAGAAGCCACAATGCCTCTTGCTATGGTGGGAAACAAAGCCGACATGGTACACTTGAGGCAAGTTAGCACGGAAGAGGGGGAGATACTCGCGAAAGATTTTGAATGCTGGTTCAGCGAAGTGTCCGCGGCTGAACAGGTAAGCTATTGACTATTTTTCATTTCGGTTATGAACGAACAGTTTGCAAGCATTTGCTGTTTAAATGAACTGAGAAATTCATTAGAAGCAGCGGAGAGTCTACTCGTATTTGAAATATTTTAATATCCGTGCTCTCATAGTAATTCTTTACAAAAGGGAAGCTAATTTAAAAAATGAAGGAAGGCCATGGAAAATAGTGGCAATTATGTTACTAATTGGATATACTTACTTTTTATTATTTTTGTACTAAGTTCGTGATAAAAACTGAGAGCCTATCCGGTATCATTAATATTTTAATAACTAATAAATAATAAACCCAGTGCCACTAATATTTTAAACCTATTAAGTATCGATATAGCGACCACTAGATGTAGATAGGAACACAAAAACAATGAATAGTTGATTTCAAAATAATATTTTATGCGCATATCGAAAGTGACTATTTCGATTACTGTTTATAAAGATCGATCACAAAAATAAATAAAGAGTACTGTTCTAACTTATCGAATTATGATTGAGAAGCATCTAGATACGTCTATACATATAATTTATGATTAATACGAAATTTAAACAGATAAATATAATTGATATTTTGTTTTACTAAGTCGGCTAAGTATATAGTGCACTAAATTTTGTCTATCACGAAAGCGAAGAAAATTAATTACGCTCAGGAACATGTTTAACATCTCTGTTTTTACATAACTGTCCAGCAACTACTTTTCCTAAAGTTTTTGTCGAAAATTTATGCGGGCAAACGTTTTCGGCGATTCTATAAATCTTACTTGAGAAATGATTAATTTCTCTAGGTCACCCAAGTCGCTGAGTCTTTCCACGAATTATGCCGGGAAGTTTTGGCTGCCAGAAGGAGAAACAAACAATCTCTATTGGACAGAATGCTCGGTAGCAAAGCTACACGCGCTTACTCGCGAGGGAAAAGTGATTCAGCGCTTCCGAAGGATTAATGTACACAATTTCGTAATTTATTCACACGAATATCCGCTTTGAAAATTCGTGTTAAACAAATTATCATCAGAGTTATTTCTATGAGAATTCACGACCTTGTTTTAGGAGAAAGAAGTAATTGCATACAATTTATGCACTCGTTTGTACTTATCATTAAAATTATAAGTACCAAAGATTTATATAACATCATGTAACGTTTGTAATTTATATAATAATCTTATTTATGCTATTTATGTTAAAGAATTCGATAATACGAATAGAGGCAATATATCGATATGACATAGGTTAAAATTTACACTAATTAGTACGAAACTGCAGTGCCAAGTATAAATATTTAAAACAATATTTAATGTTCAATATTGTCACGGTTATTTAAACATATACAATATGTAAACATATAATTTAGATACATGTGGAATCTTTTATCAGTTGATCTATATTTATTTTGTACTTATAATGAAAAGTTATGACAATAAATATTTTACTTATTTATTATATCACTGTGATATGATCATATCTTCAAAATAGAGTCTGTATTGTAATCACAATATACGAGAAAAGAGTTACAATGATAAAACTCTTTATAAACGGTTCAGATATCTGTTACCTTTATGTACAAAAATTCATGTGTATTTATTTCGTATCATCGTACGTTTCTAAAACATCTGCTAAATGTTCATTATCTCTTGGCTTTTTGAATTGCTTTCTCTTATTAATAGGTTTCTTTCTTTTCATCGGTGCAGGCTTTTTAGGACCGTGATCTTGCATCGATCGTATACCTTGTTTCTCAAGATATTCATCAATTTTTTGATCATCCATTGCATCGACTGCGACGGCTCTCCATAATTTTTGAAATTCATCGTCTATTGGAAATTGAGCCGTTTTATCATTATAAAAGACGATTTTCTTTTTGTCTAAAGGTCTAGTTATGAATAATATCTCGTTTTGTAAACTCTGCAATCGATAAATCGTTGCTAAAATTGTCGTTTACTTAAATATATGTTATACAAAAATTACCTTTAAATGTTTATCACAGTGCGGCAAGCTTTCCTGTATATCCTCCAACAAGATTCCGCCAAGACCTTTTAGATCTTGTTGCTTCAATAACCTCAGCAAAGATTTTTTATCTTTGATTTTATACATAGCTTTGAATACAAATCTATTGTCATGCGTCACTTCTATCTTTGGATTTTTTATGAGAGCTTCCGTTTGGAGCCATTGTTTTACCTGAACATTAATTACATTCATACTTCATAGTCTTAATAATATTAAAAACATTGGAAACATACCTTAGATCCCACATCTAATTGATTAGTTTCATCTAAAATTTCTTCTAACGTTAAAGGATGATCGTCTCCTTCTTGATGCCGAGCTTTCATATGTTTTACTATTTTTGCTAATACGCCAAACTTATACTGGGTGCTACCGGACATAGTTTTATAGTTAACCATGTCCAGCTTTGGCCCGCTGGACACAGAAGATGGTTTCGGTTTTTTCTTGAGTGGTTCATCTCGAGAAGAATCTTTTTCTTGTTCCTTCTTCTTTTTCTCTACCCTATAAAACAGAATTTTTTAATGTTACACAACAAAATTACACAAGATTAATGTTAAAGTTTATACATGCACACGAGCATAATATACAAGTAATTCTTTCATTCAAAGTCTTACAGAATTCAGTTATAGGTTAGGAAACTAAACCAGCATCGTATACTCACGTAGGAGTCGTAAGTGCTCTTTTTTTGAAGAGCTCCCGCTCTCTCAACAATGCCGGATCCATCGCAGTGAATAATTTTAGTCACACAAATGTCAACCACAAACGTCAACAAAATTTCTCACAAGCTGTCACTTTGTTCACATCCTATCACCAGGCGAATCGTCTCGGTCTACCACTCAGAGGTTCTCATTCCATTCGTACAGTGAATGAAAGGTAAGTGACAATTGCGCATGTGCGTCCATGTTTTCGATAGATCGTTCGATAATTCAAAACGTATCGAACAGAAAAGTCAATTACAATGGCTGCACCTGAGAAAATCGGCTGAAAAAAATCGAAACGTGAAATCAACGTTATTCATAAATCTGTTAAATTATATCAGTGTTTTTGCAAGCAACGGCAGCAATCGTTGCCTTTTCTACTTTTCCAATCGGAAATAGTTTTTCTGACCTCGCGACGATCACTGAAACGCGACTGTCAATTTTTACCGCAGTTTTGGCCATCAACGGTCGGAGAAGATGGTGGCAAGTAGTTCGAGTTCGATGCTGATCACTACGACGAATCGGAGTTTTACGACTTTCGGTAAGTACGTACGTTTTATGTGGCCGGAAGCGGTCGTAGTTCTCGGACGTGTTTCTAAGGCCCTACAGTGTCTGTGACATTTTGCGAGCGGCACAGCCGGCTTCCTTTATTTCACGCTTCGCTTTACGAACGTTGAATCAAAGGACAAAGCAACCTGGTTCTCAAAAGCAGTTCTCCTTGCGCCGGTTTTAAGAGAGCGAATAGAAAGAACATATTGTTTTCATTGCTAGAAACGAGGCACTAACTTTTACATAGGGCGAGAAATCGCTTCGGTCACGACACATTCTCGCGAACATACGATTGTTCTACTTTCAAGATTTATGACCCGGCCTCCTTGAAACGATTCAATAAACTTTTCGTCGTATAACTCTCGTCGGGTGGATACGGTATGTTGAAATTGATTTTCATGCAAATTTGAATTTTTCATTTACGGAGTGGAGATCTCCCGCACGTTTTTCGGCAAGTTGAAAATTCTTGGGCATGCGCATGCCAGTACTTTTTTCAATTTAAATATTGCTAGAATCGGCTCAAATTTCAGAAATCCTTAGTAGACTAGCGTGAGTTGGAGTCTTTGGTTATCCTTTATTTATTCTTGATTTATACTTTATTGTTTCGTTCTATCAGGACATTTATAACAATCAGCGAAATCGGAGGGTGGTAATATTTTGTAAATTTTTACCGTATAATTCTGTAACCAACTAGCGACTAAATACAGTAAATTCTTCCTAATTCACGCTCAGATTGTGCACTCAATTCGACGGTCTAAGACTATCTGAGTAGAAGACTAGCGTGAGCTGGAGTCTACTGAAGTTGATTGAATGAGTGAGTAGTAGACTAGCGTGAGCTGGACTCTATTGAAGTTGACTGAATGAGTGAGCAGTAGACTAGCGTGAGCTGGAGTCTACTGAAGTTGACTGAATGAGTGAGTGGTAGACTAGCGTGAGCTGGAGTCTACTGAAGTTGACTGAAGCAGAATGACTGCGATTCAGAACTTGGCTGGAACGGACAGCGCGTGCCTGTTGAAACGAAGTCGCGGACTAGAGACCGAGCGAGAATGACGGAGATTAACTTACCCTGACTGACCGAAGACAAGACACAAGACACAAGACACCAATGACTGACGAATGAATGACTAAATTTTTTATACCGTTTCACGGACAGAAGACTAGAAACCGATTGGCCAGTAACGCGATGGAAGNGCTGTGGAGTCTATTGAAGTTGAAGAGTTGAGTGTGGTAGACTAGCGTGAGCTGGAGTCTACTGAAGTTGACTGAAGCAGAATGACTGCGATTCAGAACTTGGCTGGAACGGACAGCGCGTGCCTGTTGAAACGAAGTCGCGGACTAGAGACCGAGCGAGAATGACGGAGATTAACTTACCCTGACTGACCGAAGACAAGACACAAGACACAAGACACCAATGACTGACGAATGAATGACTAAATTTTTTATACCGTTTCACGGACAGAAGACTAGAAACCGATTGGCCAGTAACGCGATGGAAGGGGATGTAAAAGTGACGTAGCACCCAATGCCGCAGGTAGCAAGAAACCCCGGACGGGCGACCGAAGGGGTGCGTGCTGGCGNAGTTTAGGCAAAGTTGTTGACTTTACTGATGCTGTAATAAATAATGTAAAAAAATTAATTTGTAAATAATTCATATTCAAATTGACGAAAAGACGAAAAAAGAATCAGTTTCGAATGTTTATACTGTTTCGTGGACAGAAGACTAGAAACCGATTGGCCAGTAACGCGATGGAAGGGGATGTAAAAGTGACGTAGCACCCAATGCCGCAGGTAGCAAGAAACCCCGGACGGGCGACCGAAGGGGTGCGTGCTGGCGACCCGCTGTTACAAATGAATAAAATGCTGCCGATGATGTGTGCATTATTCGAAAGTGCAGAAATGACATTATTGCCGGAAAGAAGACGGCTCGAAATAATTGAAAACTTAGAAACCGCAATTAAGAAGACTATGGCTCTACGAAATTGAAAGCCTAACGAACGTGGCCCTTTGTCGATTGCGCGTCGTTCGTTGAAGGACTATAACTTGTCTCGCTGAGCCGAAGCAAAATTCCCCGCAAATAAACTGTTTTTTAGGGATTGAAGAAAAAAGTAATTCGTCCGGGAGAAAGTTGGGCGGACGCGGTACGGAAATTTCGTCGAGGGATGGAACACTGTACTTTGACCAAAATAATATATCACCCTTTTTCCTAAAAAGATGAAAAACTTCAACGAAAGTTCATCGTTTCTCGTCGAAATTCGAGAAAACGTCACACCATGCGAGGTACCGACCGAGCAGAGGTATCGATACGCATCGATACCGGGTAGAAAGTCGCAGGAAGTGCAGGAACCGCGCGCGGTGCGCTTCGGTCGTGGCATGCGCATTCGATGTGCACTTGCACCAGGAACGAAGATGCACCGACCGCCTGGAGAGAGACGGACGCAGCGACCGAGGGGAAGAAGGAGAGGAAACGTAGGACAGACGGGAGCGTGTATGGCACGGAGGGACCAGGATCTGTAGCGAGGCGTCTCGTTGGTGGGGAAAAGAGGGATGAAGGGAGGAGGGAAGAGAGAAGGGAGCGGCGAGAAGAGAGAAACGCCGAGAGAAACGAAGGGTAGGGAAACGAAGGGCGGAAGGGCTGGTTAAATGATGGCTGGTCCGGGGTTCAGGGACGCGAGGGAGGCGAACGCAGGAGAGAGGGATGCTGGGGCGGTTCAAGCGAGATCGAGTTCACAGCAAGTGGAGTACGGCAGTTTGTGTCAGACCACGGAGCACCGAAGATGCTCCCCTCGGTTGTTCGTGGAACGGGTGGGCCACCCTCGTTGCGTCGGTGGCGTCGCGTGACCATTTTTAACGGTGTCGTGTCTATCGTACTCGGGACCACCAGAAACCCTGGATGTTCCCGTAACACCAATCGACCGTCCACTGCCACTTCGATGACGACCGCTCTATGCGTCTTGCTGGTCCTCTTGCCCGCGGCGTATCCCGAAAAGATCTCCCTCGGTGAGTGGACGCTTCTCGCATGTCCTTCTTACTCGTTCCGCTCGAGATTCCGGACGCTCGCTGGGCGAACAGCCGAGCATGCGAGCGAGCAAAACCATCGAGCGACTAGCGGCGCGGTGGCTGGCTGGCTGATCGAGCCACCCACCCCAGTGGCGATGGAGGGTTGTTGCACTCGGCTTCTAGGCCGATTGTTTACGGTGAACGGAAGTAAATACCATGTTCGCGATCTTCTTCGACGCGAAATCAGACCCGGGGTTGTGGAACGCTATGCTCGCGGTTTATGAGTTCTGTAGGCGTGCTGGAAGGTGTTAGGTCGTCGCTCGTGCGGAAAGGAGCTTCCGGTTTGATCTATGGGAAACTGTGCAATCCTTGTCGATTCGACGTACGTGTAAACATGGGAGCTTGAATAATGTGCTGGCGGGCACGAGGAATGAACATATTTTTGTTGTTCTTAGAGCAGCATTAAGCTGTTGCACGTCGATTCGTGTATTCGGTTGGGCAAGATCGTTGACAGCGACGATGATTGGTATCGTTCCGACAGAAGCTAGTTCGCTCAAGGCGAACGTCGAATGACATGGATGCTGATCCTGTAAAAAGTTGATCCGACACATACTCAGCTTTCGATGATGGTGACATCTATTTGTGAGTTTCTTTGGTTTAGTGAAATTTGCATCACGTGCTGTATAGTGCGGGATGCTTCTTAAATATTCGTCGCTTAATATGCAACGGAAGCTCGATTTGGAACGTTTATGCCGCGAACGTTAGTCATTCGAGTCGTGCGACTCGGTTTTATTTATACATGGAAGTCAACGCGCTACATAGAGGCAACATATATGTACATTTTTATTAAAGAATAAACTTGCAACAACCGTGGGCCTTCGTAAGCGAATTACGCATGCACAAAGTGCTTCAAGAACAATTGTAACTTTCCATTTCAAAACTACGTCACCGTGGATTCGGATAATGTATCATGTCAGCGCATACGAAATGTCCTTTTCGCGAAATGCAAATTTTCATTATGATACGGAATTAATAACTACAGGCTAAATTAGAGGGGAAGAAATTTCTTGCACACTTCGCGCACCAGTTATCCCCGCGAGGCTTTCATTTCATTAATGTTTCGTGAATTCGTATTAGGCGTAACTTCGAGCAGTCGCGTCGCTATTGTTTGTGAAATCGGATCGACGACAGGCGGCGGTTCAAAACAATGTTCGAGAATGTATTCATCGGATCGGCGGTGTGCTGTCTTTTTTCACGCGGAACTACGAAGTAATTGCAACACGTTTTTGCAGAATAATAGGTTCGCGCCGACAGTAAATTGATATTAAAATCGCGAAACACGGTTTCACATTTTTCCAGCGGTATCGGTTGATCGAACCATCGTTGATCGAGGTTCTGATTGAAATAATAACATGTAAACACCACTCGTTATACAACGAAGAAAAAAAGGCGAAACACGGGTCTGTCACGATTTCTATAGCTGAACGAAGTAGCGATAAAAATCGATACCATTCTCACAAACGGAGAAGCTGTCGTAGAACAAGAATATTTCTATCATCCGTAGACTAACAAACCCGTCGTTCTCATCGGTGTAACAAACTGAAATCAAATACGGCTTAATTAGCTCAGAGTTTAATATTAGCTGTACAGCCGAATGATTTCTGGTGGCAGCGGCACGAGTTTGAGTAGTAAAAACGCGTAGAACGAGACGAGTGGTCAAATGGAACTCGTTAAAAAAAAGAAGAAGAAAAAGAGGCGATCCGCCTTGAAGAGCAAACCCTGCCGAAAGTTGTATCGCGTAAACATGATTAGTATGCTCGGAAGCTCCTGCGTTCAACGCCGTCGGTGTTTTTCGGCCCCGTCTTTCTCGCTTTCACTGGCAACAATTTCCCTCGGGGATCCGAAATCGGTCATCGAAATTCTCCGTCACGGAGGAGCGTGATATTTGGTTAAAAGCCTGTTAGATTACCATCAATGCAGATTTCAGGGACGTAACGGCAGAAGTTGCGGGAAATGATTGTAGAGATAGAAGGTAGATGGGTACCGGCGAATATAAGACAGGGAGCGAGAGAGATGGACAGAAAGAGAGAGAGGGTAAACGAGGATAGGGAGAGAGAGAGAGAGAGAGAGAGAGAGAGAGAGAGAGAGAGTCGCAAACACAGAAATAGGTGGAAGAAGGTAAAATGGGGGAGAATAAGCGGGAGAGGGCAAAAGTGAGTGGGCGACAGGGAGAAGGAGGGCGAACGTTGAGCGAGAAGTGAATGATGAATGCCTATAGAAATGGCGGTGTCTTTCTTCCACTCACGTGGATATATAGGTAGAGAACTACCGACTAAGTCGACGAAAAGACGAGGAGGAGGTCGTGGCACGAGAGGTGGTGGTGACGTTGAAGGAGGATGAGGATAGTAGAAGGTTCGTTGCCTTGCCAAGTTATACCGCACACGGCGGCATTCTTTGCTACTCGATCGCTCTTCTCTACTTCAACCCCGCCACTCATTCTGTATATTTTTACACAATTATGCGAGGGGCCACCTGAAAATATATCATCAAAAAGCGTCATCGGTACTTGACCTCGCATGTAATATCCCCCGCGGAGACGCTAAACGAATTTCCGCCTGATCCTTTCGCGATGGATCCTTATTCCGATGAAACTCATCGTATTAAAACACTCTCGGACAATTTTTCAGCCTGAAACTTGGTAATAGGCTTTTTAATGTCTACGCTAAAGTGAAAAGCAGCTTAAGTGTTTTTATCCCTTAAATACGATAGTTGTTCCGAAAGAAATTGCTAGATTACAGAAGTTCGGCCAACTTATTTCAAAATGTTAATCTTTGCTATCATTCGGAGATTTTTATTTTGTTCGCAGGCTTTAATATGCGTATCCATAAAAACTGTTCGAAATGGAAAGTGGATAAAGCGAATTGAGAGCTGTTGTTACAGTTCGCGATGAAGATTTCGTACATTCCATGAACGAAATTATTCAGGACAAAGAGAAGTGCTAATTAACGTATTATTTGACTGTGGAAGAGATCGTATTGTGATAGTTCTTAATTTCTTGGAAATCTAATATCGATTTGTATAAACTAATCTGTAGAATGTTTGCATAAACACCTGTTCATCGAGAATTAATTAGAGCGAGTTATTAGCGGATCAATGGTATACTATGTAACGTATTTTTAGAAGAATGTGCAGACCTAAAGGAGAGGTCTTTATATAGCCGTGCGCATAAAACAACGCGATGTTATACCGTGAGCTGCAAACCTATTACTGGATTAATTATTTTCATCTAGAGTGTCCCAAGAAGAACATCTATTGGTTTCAACGATGTCGAATAATCGATATATTCATCGATGCATACGTGTATAACAATATACGATTCGCGTTCCCAAAATTTAGACTGCGAATTTTTATTCAATATACGTACAAAAGTTAAGAAACGTAACATTCGTATAACATTTGATATTTTAACAAATACACGTCTTATTAAATTAAAAGTACGTATATTACTGTGAAGCATATAATTTTATTAATATTTTATTATCCCATGTTTAGAAAGAGTTTACTACAATCTAGAATATGCCTCTGTTTAACCCGTTTCTTAACTTTTGTCTATAAGTGTATACATATATATTTCTTCATTTAATAATGAAACCACGCAACAATTAGTTTCAAGTTTTCTAAAAACGGCTTTAACGTTTTATATTTGATTTACCCAGATTTGTCATAGACGCAGAAAATCCGTACAATAATATAGAATTTACTTTACATCCGAGGGATTTTGTTGCGATCATTCCAAAAGTATTTTGTACGTTTATGGCATTAACATTGTCCCTTACCGAAATCCTCAGACTTTCTTTACTTCTCAGGGGAATCTTTTCGTCGTCTGGCAGCGCCCTAATTAGCTTCTCGTCGTCTGACAAGTATACACAGTGTATCCTCACGAAAATGTTTTTTGGTGAAGATTGTCAGAGGTTTCCAGTGGTTTCAAGCTCGGCTGAATAAACTCAGTTAACGCGAAAGCAGCCACGAATGAAAAAAACTAATTTCCGCGACGCGTGTGGCTCGCTGCTGGAATTGCGGTCAACGTTCGACATTTTAGAGCGTTGAATTTTTCGCAGACCGAAGTAATTACAAATTTCGTACACGTCGCAAATATCGTGTCTCCTCGCGTGATAGACGAAGGAAGGAAACGTTTTAAACTTTATAATATTCGTAGCAGCACGAAAGCTTCGGCTGAGATTTAATTAAGGTGGATAGACAGATGCGCAGAGTTTCTCCGCGAACGTTCTTTAAAACAATCGTTTACTCGATTTGCTGCACTCGTATTGTACAGGAGCTCGTATATGTTTTCATTGTGTCGCGTTTTTTCCAGCTTTGCTTTTGTGTTTACGTTACACACATCCTTTCTTCCGCAGCACTTACCGAGATTTTAATTGTTTCTTCACCGTATAAACGTTGCAATGAATGCAAACGTATTTGAATAGGTCGAAAACAATATTTCATTTTCATTTTAAACATACAGTGTACAGATCTATGTAAAGATTCTGTGGCGAATTGTTAAATAATTTATTCTGAAGATATATTCGGTAATAAATTGTTAGGATATTTCCACAATCTTTTATGTTTAATGCAAGTAAAGAATATTTCAGATATATAGTGCTTAAAAATACTGTATTGACATTTTTTAATTCTTTTAATTTTGCATTTCAATTCGAAGTAACATTTTCAATGTTGATTGATCTATGAGAATTATAAAAATAATGTACTCGGTACGATTACACGAAAGAACATTTTGACCGGTTCACGTACGTAGAAGATCAGGTTTATCAACTGCAAATAATTGCCATTGATCAACGGTTTGATACGATTAAATTCTCTTGGTTCTACCGATGAATGATTTTTCTAACATATACCGAGTTTGTTCATGCGTACATTTCATTTCTCATTCCTCCATTGGTATTCTCTTAACTTTTGGTATTCATACCTAAAACAATTCGTTG